AGAAAGTGACCCTTGATCCTCAGGCTCGTGAGTTTGAGACCCATGTTGGGTGTAGAGATTGCTTAAATAAACTTTAAAAAGAATAATATAGTTGGTCTGAGACAAGTACTGCTACTCTGGCTTTCTTTTGACATTCATTTGCATGATAAATGTTTCTCCATTCCCTCACTTTAAAAATGCAGGTCTTTTGGTCTGAAATGAGTCTCTTGTAGACAAGTATATAGATGAGTCTGGTCAAAATTAATTTTTTTAATGTTTATTTTTGAGAGAGACAGAACATGAATAGAGGGGCGGGGGGAGGGGGGGAAGAACACAGAATCTGAAGCAGGCTCTGGGGTTGAACCCATGAACTGTGAGATCATGACTTGAGCTGAAGTTGGATGCTTAACCAACTGAGCCCCCCAGGCACCCCCAAAATTATTTTTTTAATCTTAATTTGGTATGGCCATTTCAGACAGAGGACAAAATGAAATCACCTGGATCATAATTTTTTTTTTTTAATTTTTTTTTTTTCAACGTTTATTTATTTTTGGGACAGAGAGAGACAGAGCATGAACGGGGGAGGGGCAGAGAGAGAGGGAGACACAGAATCGGAAACAGGCTCCAGGCTCTGAGCCATCAGCCCAGAGCCCGACGCGGGGCTCGAACTCACGGACCGCGAGATCGTGACCTGGCTGAAGTCGGACGCTTAACCGACTGCGCCACCCAGGCGCCCCGCACCTGGATCATAATTTAATGATGCACCTGGGTGGCTCAGTTGGTTGAGAGTCTGACTTCTACTCAGGTCATGATCTCACAGTTTGTGAGTTCAAGCCCTGCACTGAGCTGTATGCTGACAGTGCAGAGGCCTGCTTGGGATTCTCTCTCTCTCTCTCTCTCTCTCTCTCTCTCTCTCTGCCCCTCCCCACGCACACACACACACTCTCTCTCTCAAAATAAATAAACCTAAAAAAAATATGTGAGCCCAAATGCAGTATAAAATATCAGTATATAATGTCCATAGTTGTTATTTCTGGACGGTAGGGCTGTAGATGATTTTTCTTAAATGAATGGATATTACTTTGATGTGAGGAAAAAGCAAACTTTTTTTCTTTAATGTAAAAACATGCACTTCAAAATCTTACCTATTACCACCACCAGGATCTCCTTTTGGTATTTACTTTTTGGACTTTGATCATTTATTTATACCATTGAGTGAAGAACCATGTTTTGACTTTAAATGCCAAGAACAGTTTTTGGTTTTCTTTAAGTTTACTTATTTTGAGAGAGAGTAGGGTAGGGACAGAGACAATCCCAAGCAGGCTCCACACTGCCAGCATGGAGCCAGATGTGGGGCTCAAACCCATGAACCATGAGATCATGACCTGAGCTGAAATCAAGAGTCAGACGCTTAACTGACTGAGCCACCCAGATGCCCCACCAAGGATAGTTTTTAATTCAACTTTTTAGTCTTTTTAAATGGCACATAAAAATGAGGTATTTTATTAAAGCTTGGCATATTGATGTGACTCATCCTGTTCCATAGGTTTTCATTGCCATATTTAAACAATTTACCATTGTATGTTTTAAGTGCATTACTTTCAGTACTGCTGAATTAATATTTAAAATTTGTTTTTCCTTCATAATTTAATTTCAGTATCCAAGATTCTTGGGCTGGCTTCATTGCTCAAAGAAAACACAGGGCCCTGCCAATACTGTGGAAGACTGAAATAAATTAGATCAGTACTGCCTTTCTTCTTTTTATTCCTGCCTTCAGCAAGTCAGGTTAAATACTATGCTTATATTTCATTGGTTGTTTCTAGGCTCAAAATTTTGATATTTTTATGGTTTGTATTTTGTTACTGAATGTATTTACACACAAAAAATACACATTCTGTTATTTCCCATATCTTACAAAGTCCCTTCTGTAATGAAGTTAAAAAGAATCAGTCTCACAAAGATATTAATTGTCTTGGTTTTATTTTCATTTTGTGTTATCTATAGCAATTCAAACTACCTTTTTACTACTATGGTCCTGAGGTAAAACCTAAATTTTTGAATAGGTTAACAATAATTGCGTTTGTGTTGAATATTTCAGGAAATAAACTTTTTTGTTTTATGCCATCTTGTAATCTCTATTAAAAGAGGCTCAGTAAAATAGAGCATAAACTTCCTTTTGTTCTTAAGCTGTAAAGACCTCTACATTTCCAGATGGTCTATAAAGATAGTTACATGAAATAAATATCTATAGTTGAAATGCAAACACTTTTCATTGTGCAAATACTGAAACCTATTTTTTACAATACAGTTTGTTTCTAACCATATCAGAGCTATGTTTTACAATTAATGAAAGATTTCAAAAAAATACAAAGTTACATCAATCTGATCTTAATATGCCCTGGTATTCCTGTCTAATTTGTAAAGTGGTTGTAAGAAAGATTAGACAAGTTTTAGTTCTTCAGGGCTTTTCAAAGGTTAAATGCATTCTTATTTGGAATTAAAAAGTAGGAGATATTATTTTCCCCCATTTAATATAAAAACGATACATTTGAGAGAGTTCTCAGCTTGCCTTTGGTTAAGGTTAATTAATTTACTTCTTATTGAATGTTTGATCTAGATTTAGGCAAATAGCAACTGATCACCTTTGTGTTCTATGTCTATCCTGTCCTTCCTTTCACTCCCTACTAAATATGTGGTTTGTTTCCTTTATTAGCAATGTAGGTGTAATATAGCCAGATTTCTGCTTCTGGCCTGTAATGACTGAACTTCAAATAATTAATACTGAAAAAAATATGGTTACCTTCATTTTAATAACAAAGTTTTCAATGTGCTCTTCAAAAATGGAGTTGTTAGATTTGTTGAAATTATAACTGAACTTGCTAAGCCAGTTAATGTTACTTTTGGGTTAAAGGAACAAACACACACTCTATTGAGAGAAGAAATTTTAAGAGAATCTCAGAACTGAATAAGATCTATTGTGTGTGAGGGTTTTTTTTTTTTTTTTTTGAGGACTTTTGTTCTTTCTTTGAAAATTGAAGTCATTATCTGTACACATTTATAGTCTGAGATTCAGGGTTCTGGCTTGGCGAAACCAGTGGTTTTCCTCTTTGGTGAGGTGTCTTTGTTTATACAAGATAATGTGCATGTGAAGGAAATACACAAATTATTTCTGAACTAATGCATTAGTGAAAGGAAATTAGTTAAAGAAAAATGGCACAAACTCATGATATAAAGTTAGCAATTTCTGGAAGTAAAGTTGAGAGCATAGAGTCACCATAGGCATAGAATTTAAATTATGATTATGAGTCACGACCCTTGGTGATTGAATTTGGCAGAACACTAACAGTACTAGTGCATTCTGGAGAATTTTACTGAATAAAAAAATCCTTCTGAAAGGATAACCAAATAAAAAAATGGAAATAAGCATGAAAAGATTACATAATCTTTTCCTGAGTCCATGTTTCTGATCCTCAGGTAAGGTCTTTCCAGCCTCTGCAGTATTGCAACATAGTAGCGATTTTCTGGAGAGCTCCTGGGTGGTTCAGATTGTAGCTAGGCCAGAATGCTACGCATGGAGGTGGATGGCACTTTACCCACCCTGTTTCTTCTATATACAGTGACTCAGACATTACAATCCATTCTTTTGTAAACAATCAATAAGCTTGTTTAAAACTAGGAGCACATGGAAACTGATGTGAACAACTTAGTTAAAATGTTTCCTTATGGAGATGCAATGAACTGGATGTCAAAAATAAGAATTTCTTATTCTGAAGAAATTGTCTCAAAACAGAGGGTGGGCAAGAAAAAAGAACAGGATATTGACTGACAAATTTATACAGTGGCTATGTGTTCATTAGCTTACACTAACTTCCCTCCAGTAAGGATAACAGTTTTTCCATAGTAATCAAACAGAGCCTCAGATGATGTCACCCACAAAAAGGAAAAAAGTGGAAAAACAAGACCGGTTCTTACTGATCATGTAGAGCCTTCTATGATGGCTTCTATGATTTAACATGATTGGTTAAATCATGTCAAGAAAAAGGTTGTAAGTGAATGTGTAAGGATAGGTGTACCCTTACATGTATAAGGATAAGTTGTTTAGCATTTTTCCCTCATTCAGAAAGAAGTTTCTGGGTAATTTCAGGAATACTATTGCCACTTGCTTAGGGATTGTCCTCCCCTTGTTTTCTTTTCAGAAAGAATATGAATACTGTATATTACGGTAGTAATGTGTAAAAAAAAAAAAAAAAAAAAACTAGGCCCGGAGACACCTGTACAATGTCTTGAATGTTACTAGACATTCTTGTGGCTTAGGAGATGGGTTATGTTTCTACAGAGGATGGATTTAGCAAACAAATCATCCTGCTACTTCCCTATGAAAATTCAATCATGGAATTGAGGGGTGTCCATGATTCTGTATGAAGGAAAAAAACTAATACTACATTTTAGCCCCCAGGTGGAGAAAAGCACCAAGTTCTCTGTGATTTCATGAAAGCAAATTGAGTTCTCAAATCTTAATCTACTTTTCTAGCTAAAAACAAAACTAGTCTGGTTCTAGTGCTATTTTCCACAACAGAAAACTCCCCCTGCTACGGTTTTATTTAAAAACCAACCCCAAATCACAACCCAATTTACATGCTGTCTTTATCCACATATAGAAGTCTCACAGTCAGCAAGGCAACTTGAACATAAAAGGCTTTCCAAAGAAAAAAGCCCAACTCCTTATTTACAGAATTATTCCTTCCTGTTATCTTGAAACAAATTCTGATATCCATTTCACACTCAATAGTTTGTAATATTTTCAACATATTATCAAGATAGCTGAAGATCCAAGATATTAAAGAGATACTTAAATCTATTCAGATGTAGTCCTTACCATCTGTTTAAAGTTGGCTAAAAAGTGTTATATCCACAAACACGATGCTTTTGTGTATGTGTTACAATATAAACTCCTTTCCACAAAGACAGTTATGTTGTAAAACTGATGTCTCAAGGCCACTGAAGTGACGACATAATTTCAATCAAGCATTAAGAAGTTCATCATCTGAGTGTCCAATAGCATCTGGGTTTGAAAGTGGATCCAAGTCTGCAAATAGATTGAACCAGGCTGACATGTCTTGGTTACCACTGCTGGGAGCTATTAAAGAAGAAAAAACACAATGAAGAGTCTCATATTTTTTAAATCACATTACCATTTACATGATTTTAAAGTAGATGCTTCTTCTGAATACAAAAATTTAAGACGACTGACAAGAATGAACTATCAATTACATCTCCTTGGTAATTCTGAGACGTGAATGCAGGTACCTTGTGCTTTGCTGGGGACCTTCTATGTAAGTATTTTCATGTTGCTCTGAGAAATGATTAAAAGTGAAAAGGCAAATGAGGCGCCTGGGTGGCTCAGTCAGTTGAGCGTCTGACTCAGCTCAGGTCATGATCCCATGGTTCATGGGTTCGAGCCCCATGTTTGGGTTCTGTACTGACAACTCAGAGCCTGGAGCTTGCTTTGGAGTCTGTGTCTCCCTCTCTCTGCCCCTCCCCTGCTCATTCTCTCTCTCTCTCCCTCCCTCCCTCCCTCGCTCTCAAAAAATAAAATTAAAAAGATTTTTTTTTTCAATTAAAAAAAAAGTAAAAAAGGCAGGTGGTAGTAAAGGCTTCTTAGAAACACTGAGATGGGCACCTGGGTGACTTAGTTGGTTAGGTGTCCAACTTCAGCTCAGGTCATGATCTCACAGTTCATGAGTTTGAGCCCCATGTCAGGCTCTGTGCTGACAGCTCAGAACCTGGAGCCTGCTTGGGATTCTGTGTCTCCCTCTCTCTCTGCCCCTCCCTCACTCACATTCTGTGTCTCTCAAAAATAAAAAAAAAAGAAACACTGAGATAGTTTATAGAAGTCTCTCAGGTAAGGTTCAAAAGTAAAAGTAACGTTTGTTCCTACAAAGTAGGAACATTACATTTGTAAATGTGTTTAAAAATCTACATGATAAAATACTGAAATATTAAACATAAGGGGAAGAAAATCCTTCCGATCCTATTACATTAACATACCCAACAGTTCCTATTTTGGTTTATAGCAGTTTCCTTTGTCTTTTCCATGTGCACTTTACAAATTCTTGATGAACATCTTATAGAGTGGATTTTGTTCAGGTACAACTTTCTGTTAACCAATTCCCTCTTACCTCTCTGTGGAGACTAGAAAACCATATATATCAATAGTCTACAGGTTGTACTGGGGCAAATATTTCAAGGATATACATTTAGACTCAAGGCTGAGACTAGAAAAAGAATGCACAATGGCACACAAGTGAGTCATCTCAGAAGGCTACGCTCTTGAAGGTCAAGGGATCCAGTAGCAGAGTTAAGACCCAGGGGACAATATGAAAACCTAGATATGAAATGAGTGACTCAGTGAGAAAAGAATGGAAAGCAATCATATGCAGAAGAGTCTAGGGCAGCCCTCTTTTACAAACATGGTTCCCACTTTCCACAAACCAGTGGACTGTAGTTTGGACTGTGGAGGATCCTATTCCTCAAAGATAAGGACAGAGTGAAAGGCTTCTGTTTATGTCCACTTCTATTTCTAGAAAACTCCCAAGTTAGTGTCAGTTCTGGCCTTGAGTCCTCAGCACACTACCTACTAATAAGTAATTATGGCAAGTCATTTAACCTCAAGGGCTCTTATTTACTCATCTGTAAAGTAGTAATAATTTATCATTAAACTAGGATACCTGAGAGTGAACAAGGGGCCCATTATTAATAAGTATCCTGGAAAAGAGCAATACAGACCTACCTCAAGAAGCAAGAAAATTTTCAAACAACCTAATCTTACATGTAAAGGAGCTAGAAAATGAAGAAGAAACAAAACCCAAAACCAATAGAAGGAAATAAAGATTAGAGTGGAAATAAAAGAGAAACTAAAAAATCCCAATAAAACAGATCAATCAAACTGGGAGCTGGTTCTTTGAAAAGATCGTAAAATTGATAAACCTTTAGCCAGACTCATTAAAAAAAAAAAAAGGACTCAAAATCAGAACTGAAAGAGGAGAAATAACACCACAGAATGGATAAGAGAATATTATGAAAAGTTATATGCCAAAAAATTGGACAACCTAGAAGAAATGGATAAATTCACAGAAACATATCTCCCAAAACTGAATCAGAGGAAATAGAAAATTTGAACAGACCAATTAACAGCAATGAAATTGAATCAGTAATAAAAAAAAAAAAAAATCCCCAGACCAGATACCTTCACTGGCAAATTCTACCAAACATTTAAAAAAGCGTTAATACCTATCCTTCCCAAACTATTCCAAAAAGTACAAGAGGAAAGAAAACTTCTAAATTCATTACGTGCATTTGTAAATTCATGTATATGTGATATACATGATAAAGAAAACACAAAAAAAGAGAACTACAGGCCAATATCTCTCAATATAGATGCAAAAATCCTCAACAAAACACTAGCAAACTGAATCCAACCATACATTAAAAAAAAGTCATTCACCATGATCAAGTGGGATTTATTCCTGGAATGCAAGGTGGTTCATTATTTGTAAATCAATCAATGAGATACATCACATCAATAAGAAAAAGGATAAACACCAGATGGTCATTTCAACAGATGCAGAAAAAGCATGTGACAAAGTAAGTACAATATCCATTCAGGATAAAAACCCTCAACAAAGCAGGTCTAGAGGGAATATAACTCAACATAATAAAGCCCTTATATAAAAAAACCCATAGCTAACCTCATATTCAATTGTGAAAACTGAGAGCTTTTCCTTTAAGGTCAAGAACAAGATAAGGATGCCTACTCTTACCACTTTTATTCAACATAGTACTGGAAGTCCTAGCCACAGCAATTGGTCAACATAAAGAAATAAAAGGCATCCAAACTGGTAAGGAAGAAGTCAAACTTCCACTATTTGTAGATGACATGATTATATATAGAAAAAAACCAAAAGACTCCACCAAAAAAGTACTAGAACTGACAAATGTATTAAAGTTGCAGGACACAAAATCAATGTATAGAAATCCATTTCATTCCTATACACTAATAATGAAGCAGCAAAAAGTGAAATTAAGAAAATAATCCCATTTACAATTACACCAAAAATAATAAAATTCTCAGGAATAAACTTAACCGAGGATGTCAAAAGCTGTACTCTGGAAATTATAACACACTGATGAAAGAAATTGAAGATGACACAAATAAATGGACAGATGCTCATGGACTGGGAGAACAAACACTGTTAAATGTCCATACTACACAAAGAAACCTACAGATTTAATGCAATCCCTAGCAAAATACCAACAGCAGTTTTAACTGAACTGAGAACAAATAATCCTAAATTTGCACGGAACCACCAAAGATCCTGAATAGCCAAAGCAATTTTGAAAAATAAGAACAAAACTGGAGACATCACAATCTCAGATTTCCAGATATATTACAAAACTGTAGTAATCAAAACAATATGGTACAAAAAAAAGAAAAAACAGTATGGTACTGGCACACCAATAAACACATAGATCAATGGAACATAACAGAGACCCAGAATAAATCCACAGTTATATGGTTCATTAGTCTATGATAAAGGGGCAAGAATATGCAATGGGAAAAAAGTCTCTTCAACAAATGGGCTGGGAAACCCGTACCACCTTCTTACCATACACAAAAATAAACTCAAATGGATTAAAGACCTAAATGTGAGACTTAAAGCAATAAAAATCCTAGAAGAGAGCATGGGCAGTCATTTCTCTGACATTGGTCATTCTAGCTATGTCTCCTGAGGAAAGGGAAACAAAAGCAAATATAAACAATTAAGACAATATCAAAGTTAAAAAGCTTCTGAACAACAAAGGAAACAATCAACAAAAGAGAAAGACAACCTACTGAATAGGAAAAGATAAATGAAGGGCTAGTATCCAAACTACGAAAAGAACTTATACAAATCAACACCCAAAGAATAAATAATCCAATTAAAAATGGGCAGAAGAGGGGCGCCTGAGTGGCTGGGTTGGTTAAGCGGCTGTCTTCAGCTCAGGTCATGATCTCACGGTTCGTTCATTCGAGCCCCACATTAGGCTCTCTGTTGTCTGTGCAGAGCCCACTTCGGATCCTCTATCCCCCTTTCTCTCTACACCTCCCTCCCCCACTGGTCCCCCCCTTCTCTCTCTCAAAAATAAATATATTTTTTTAAATAGGCAGAAGGCATGAACAGATATTGTTCCAAAGACATCCAGATGGTCAACAGACACATGAAGAGATGCTCAACATCAGTCATCATCATGGAAATGCAAATCAAAACCACAATGTGATATCACCTCATAACTGTCAGGATGGCTAAAATCAAAAACACATGAAACAACAAGGGTTGGTGAAGATGTAGAGAAAAAGGAACTCTGACACACTGTTGGTAGGAATGCATATTGGTGCAGCCACTGTGGAGGTTCCTCAAAAAATTAATCAGATGATCCCACTAATGGGTATTTACCCAAATAATGAAAAAACTAAGCCCAAAAGATGTATGTATCTCTATGGTTACTGTAGCATTATTTATAATAGCCAAATTATGGAAGCACTCCGTGTGTTCATCAATAGATAAATGGATAAAGAAGATGTGGTATACAGGAAAAGCATGGAAGTTTTTTGTGTGTCTCGTGTCCATGAAATGCGCCAGACCAATACTAAACCATCCTACACACCTAGAAAACTGATTGGAGGATTAACACAATAATCTGCACAACCTGAACCACAGAATTCAGCAGGTATGTGGTGTGTAGAGGTGAACTTGGGAAGAGAGAAGCTGGTGGTGGGTAGGGAGCCGCCTTTGCAGGTGTAGAGAGGACGGAGACTGGGGTGGGGGAGAATATGGGAAAAGCACCCCTCCCCAAAAGCAGCTAGAGACAAAGTGGAAAATTGAAACAGCCACAGGGACTAAACTAAAAAGGGAGAAAAGAGAAAGGAGAGGGTTTAAATCCCATGAAGACGGTAAACAAGGGGAGTGCAAAGGCTGAAATTCTGCAGCTTGATACCTGGCGGTGCTCTGGTGGGAAGGGGGAATCCCTAGGAACAGGGTGGGGTCCAGGAGGTTCTTGGGCCACATGGAGAAAAGCAGATCCACTGCTGGAAGGACA